TTCAAGCAACATTAGTATCCCAAACTTTAATTGAAGTAGAAAATTTTCTAGAAGAATAAAGTGGATGTTCAAATAATATTAAAACTAAAGTAACTTATAAAATCGTGACAAACAACTTTATGAAAACGTTTCGTATTAAAAGTTTAGCATTATGAAAAACGTTACTAATGGACCGTAAAAACGCGCGTTAATTTTCAAATAAACCAATAAAAAATTTTTATTGGTTGATTCGCGCGTTTTTACAAAACGGTTTTCATAATGCTTTACTTTTTATAAAGTACTTTTTTTATAACGTTGTTAAAGTGATATGTGAAGTTCCTAAAATTTTTTAATAATATTTCAATATCCGCTTTGTTTTTCTTTTTATTTGAACAAAGAATAAACTTTAAATGTAATAAGTGCTTTATAAATGTAATAACACTATTATAGTTTTACTAGCTGAATTGACCCGTAAAAATACGGGTCTTTGTAAGTCTATTCCACACAAACCTTTTGCCTTATTTTCTTAATCTAGCTGTCCGTATCGGTATATACAGGTCTTTTCTTCTACTTCTATATTTATCAATTCCACGCCAATCATTTCTTTACTTGTTCTTTATTTACTTCAATATTTTTTAGTAAACTGTGGAAAAAAATTCAATAAAAAAATTTGCTTTGAGAGCAAAAAAAAACTTTAACATACGCACTTTTTCTGCATGCATATATAGCTTATTAAACCCCGTTTATTTATTTATTTTTTTAAAAATTCTGAACTAAACTACTTCCTACTTTTAGACCAGCCATGGACCATGGTTTATGGTCGTGTCCTAGCCATATTCAATAGTTTGCTATATTTATTATTATTAATCTTTGCATTAGACGGAAACGGTAATGCAATTCTTTAAAACGTTAGTTGCTTAAAGCGTCAAAAGTCATGCAAAAAAATAAACTATAAATTTTGTGGTTTAAAAGTTGAAAAACTAATAATAATATAACAAAAAGTTTAGTAATTTTTAAACGTTATTATTTAGCTCTTACTTATGGTATTTATTTTGTTTTCATTTTACATTTTTAAAAAAATGTTGAAGCACCTAACTACATGCATAACTTTGATAGCTCACATGTTAAGTGCGCAGTCATCAGAGTCGCTGTGCAAGGCTTCAAATCCGCGCCTAAAAAATCTCAATACATTTTTTTTAATTTTTTTAATCTGGCTATATTTATAGCAAAAAATTAAATATAACAAAAAACCTTTTAATTGCTTTTTTTTTCCCTGCCTCCACTGCAATACCATGTGGAGTAGCAGGACGGTTTTATCAAACTTTTTCCTTATTAGGTTTTAGGCCTTTTTTTTTTAAGACTATCCGTAGCTTATTAGGACCAATTATGCGAGAACAGTATTAAAATCGTGACACACACGCAAAATATTTTCGCCACGTTTATTGGTGTTTTAAGAAATCCAAAAAATTTATAAAACTAAAAAAAAAACAACGGTTAAAGTGTATAACGTTTAACTTGTTTAACTTCACAAATATTTTGTAATTTAAAGAAAAAAATTGCTGGCGGTAAATTTGAACCACGAGTATTACGTTCAGAAGCTTAGCGCGCTAACCACTCGGCCATGCTGACACATCAAATATCGAAATTTTAAAAATATATAAAAATTGTTTTTAACGGAATTGCTGTAGATCAAAAAATTAGGAGAGGTTGACGCAATGCAATTTTTAAGTCAAAGTCAAAGTATAAAACTTGAAAAATGTTTCAGTATGTTTCATCATTACTTAATTACGTACGTTAGATATTTGCATACACGTTTTCTTCTAAAAAAAGTGTCGCGACTCTTTCTACTAACACTACTATTAAGTTTGGCATTATTATATAGAAGATAGATAGATTATAAAATAGTTTTTCACTTAAAAGGACAAACTCTATTCCACATTAACCTTATCTCTATTTCTCCCTCTAATATTTTTTAGTGAACAATAGATTATGTGCTAGAAAAAAATAATTCACATATGCACTTTTTCCGTATATTTATATTTAGAGCTTAACATGAAGGAGGTAAATCATTTAGTTCAAGACAACCTGCCCAAACCCAAATCCTCTGTTGATTTATGCACACTCACTGTCGCTAGGCGTGTAATATAAGTAGCTAGGCAAGTCAAATAAATTAACTTGATCTGTTTTTCTGCATAAAACAAAAACAGAAAATGTGAAGTACTTGATATAAGGAACTGTAATATTGGATTTAGTTTATTCAATACAAAGTGATAGGAAACTGCAAAATAAGGTAACAACGTGAAAATTATTCAAATACTAATTTACAACAATTTGTATTGCGTTTTATTAAAATAGCTTTATTAAATGGTATAAAGATTGATGATTCTTCTTCTTCGCCTTTAGAAAATGATTAACGATTTGAAAGACTTTTAAATTGATTATAAAAGCATTATCTAAAAATGAAATTAAATCATTATTGATAACAGTGAACGCACATTTGTTTGTTTTATGTTAATTCATTTGAAAAATGAAAAATACGAAACGAAAGTTAGTAATATTAAGTAAATATTAGACACTTACTTTGTGAGAGTGCTTTCGTAAAAGTCTCTAATATTTGGTTGGAAGGCTTACTCTTTTTTTTTTGTAAAAAAATTCAGTTTTATCAGCATTGCTAAAGATAAAAATTCTTACTGACACAAAAAAATTGTGCATTTTTTCTTAAAATATTTCTTGGCTTTTAGTGAATGATTAGGAGTAAGTTTCAGTAATGAAGCTACCCAATAATCATTTTTAACAATAGACACCAACGTGAAGGTAAGCCAAGCTGTCTATCAACACTAAACATCACAACAACATTACAGGATGACAAACAATAACACCAGTAGTGTAGGCAAGATTTTTGTTGTTTCAGATATATATTAAGAAGCTGTTGAAGAGTTTAGCTTTGTTATGTCTAAAAAAATTCAGGTTAGGAATAACACTTTTTTTAAACATTTGCTCCTAAGCTTTAACAACATCAATTTTTTGCAAAGTATTTTAATTCTATAAACGTGAATACACTTAAGTTTGGTTGAAAGTGCTATCTGAAGCATCAAAAGACCCTGCCTATGCTACTGAATACACATAGCATAAAATGTTTGTACATAACACAAAATATTCAGATTATGTGTTTCTAGAATAATTAAAAAAGCTAGACAACACAACCTAGCTCAATACTTGTAACACCGCTTGGCACTAAACGCTGCCAAGTAACACCACAATTTAGTAACACCGCTTGGCATTAAGTGCCAAGTAACATCATTAGTAACACCGCTTGGCTAGCAAGAATCACAATCTTGCACTACACGTTGCCAAGTAACAACACTTTTCACATGGAAACAACTTAATATAAACTTATATAAACTTAAGCAAATAAATATAAATAAAGATAAATAAACGCATATCTCATTAATTTTTTGCTATACTAATCTAAAATGAACAAAAACAATAAAGTGCTATTTATCAGTTTAAATCTATGAAACTATGTGTATAGCAATAAAATTTGTGAACAAAAGTTTTAACTAAACTGGTTTGAAACAGAGTAAGAAGTATCTTGTAATAACATACTATATTATAAGTAATAAAACAGTTTTTTTTGAAACAAATAAAAAATTTTATTATTTTAAAAGTCATATTAATGGTAATATTAAAAAGCAAAATTAGTTACAAATTTTTAAATGACATGCCAACAATTGCAAACATGTTGCATCATATAGACCTCATGTGGCTGACAACTGATTTTAAATACTATTTTATAATATATCTAAAGATAATAATGTAAAGAGATTAATAGGTGTATAGTGCATATATTAAACATATTAAACAGACATCATAGAAAAAGAAAAATTTTAAATATACTTACCAAATCTTTCAAAAACTATATAACACTTAACAAATAAAAGTTAATACAAATGAAAATTTATTATTAATAAAATTAAAAATGAGGATAAAAAGATGTAAAAACGTAAATTAATAAAAAAACTTATAGACAAATTATTAAAAACTTTTATAACATAAGAGTTCTTTGTAAGTTTAGGATTTAAAAACAGAATTAAAAATCAAAAAAATAAAATAGTAAAAGTATAAAAATTAAAATAATAAAAAATTTAAAAAAATTAAAAAAAAACATTTTTTTAAAAAGTCAATTTTCTTTATAAATAAAATAAAGATAATTCTACCAGTAGTTTAAAAAAGCTACTGGTAGAAATTAAAAGAGTTGAACCGCTTCCCAGCACCCCTCCTTTTACCAGTGGTGTCATATGGGGCTTGTCTCCTCCATCTAAAGGAGGGATCATCTCCCCCATATTGACTCCAACGGGACCTGGGTGCTGGGAGCGATATCGCAAGAAATCTTGATGCGATGCTAAAAAACAAAAACTAAAAAAAAAAAAAATTTGAATACAATACTGCACAAAACAACCAATAAAAATAATATATAAAACTATTTAGAATTTAAAAAAAAAAAAGTTATGAGAAAAAAATAAAATAAATAAAGTAATGTAAAAATAAGGATATGCAATGTTTAAACTTCATATATACCTACACAAATACACATAACACCCACAAAACTGCATAAGTATGCAAAACAGATTACCTGATGGTCCTGCAGATATTGTTGCTATTATGGAAATAAATAAAAAAGTATATAAACAAACCCATATATTAAACAGTTATGTAATTGCATACAAACATGAAAAAAGCAATGTTTAGGTTTCAATACACATAACACTGCATAAGTACGGAAAAACTGCATAAGAATGGAAAACACATTACCTGGTGGTACTGCAGTTGATACTGTTGCTATTGCGGAAATAAATAAGTATATAAACAAACACATATATTAAACAGTTAAACAGTATAAAGTAACATATGTTAAACATTTATGTAATTGATAACAAACATGAAAAAAAGTAATGTTTAATTTCAATACACATAAAACCCATAAAACTGCATAAGTATGCAAAACACATTACCTGATGGCACTGCAGATGATATTGATGCTATTGTGAAAGTAAAAAAAAAAAATGTGTATAAAGTATCATATGTTAAACATTTATGTAATTGCATGAAAACATAAAAAAAAAAAATAATTTAAGTTTCAATACACATAAAACTCATAAAACTGCATAAATATGCTAAACAGATTGCCTGATATTATTGCTTGAGGTGTTAATGTAAAGACAAAAAAATAAATAAATACATATAACACTCATAAAACTGCATAAGTATGCAAAACACATTACCTGATGGTACTGCAGATGATATTGATGCTATTGTGAAAGTAAAAAAAAAAAAAAGTGTATAAAGTAACATATTTTAAACATTTATGTAATTGTTTACAAACATGAAAAAAGTAATGTTTAAGTTCCAATACACATAACACTCATAAAACTGCATAAGTATGCAAAACACATTACCTGATGGTACTGCATATGATGACATTGGTGCTATTGTAAAGGTAAAAAAAAAATAGTGTATAAAGTAACATATGTTAAACATTTATGTAATTGCATGAAAACAGTAATGATTAAGTTTCAATACACATAAAACCCATAAAACTGCATAAGTATGCTAAACAGATTACCTGATATTATTGCTTGAGGTGCTAATGTAGAGACAAAAAATAAATAAATAAAGTAATCTGTAAATTAAGATATGCTACCTTTAAGTTTTAACACACATAACACTCTTAAAACTGCATAAGAATGCAAAACACATTACCTGATGGTACTGCAGATGACGCTATAGTGGAGGTAAAAAATTTATTTACATAAACTAACATATACTAATCAATTAAACAGTTTATTTTACAGTGATAAAACCGCACACAAACATCAAAAAATGTGAGTTAAAATTAAACAAAAAAAAACATAAGTGTACTTTGCTTACCAATTGAATTTTCTAAATTTTCTAAATAGAATAAAAAAAAACTCATTAACATTAGGAAAGAAACTAACATGCAGAATATTTTTCAACTTTAGGAAATCTATAAATAAAGTTGGAACAAAACAAAAGGCAAAAATAACAATCACGAAACAAAACAAACCAAAAAAGAAAAAAGCGACAAAAAAAATCAAAAATAAAAATAAAGAAACAATTGACAAGAACAATATAGTAACTTACTAAATTGTTGAAATATAAGCCCGATAAAAAAAATGCTAAAAATTGTATCAAAAAAGCTAAAAGATCATAGAGTACACCTTTTTTTGTGAAAGTAAAACGCTCTATCTTTATCTATAATACACAAATGTAATATAATCAAATTCTGTTTACCCATTGAATGTTCTAATTTTTCTAAATAAAATGAAAAACTTATAAACATTAAAATAAACTAACTTTCCAAATATAGAATAACTTTATGTTAAATAAATATGTAATAAAAAAAATAAAGAGTATGACAACAACAATAACAAATTGCTTACTTAGATTCCCAACAGAATCTTCTAATTTTTCTAAATAAAATAAATTTAAAAGTTACAAAAGTCACTTGCTGACTGACAAACTGTCACAACTGACAAAAGTCAGTTGCTAAATAACTTTAAAAAAAACTAAAAAAGCATAAATGTATTTGCACACAAAAAAAACAAAAAACAACAACAAAATTCCTGACTTAGCTTGTCCATTACTTCTGCTAAACATTAAAAAAAAGTTATAATTAACAAATTGCTAAAATTGGTGAAATATATATCTTTGTAACATATCCTTCTCATACAAAGTTAGCTTACTTGGCATAAGCTCTTCGGCTCTGATCTCTTGAACATCTAATATATATATATAGACAAAATTAATTTTCAAAATATTTACTTTTTAAATTAAACATATAAGATTTGTCTTAAATTATAAAACTGTTGCACAGTTTTATAATTTAACACATTCAGTAAATGACAAAAAGTTTCATTTTACGTAAAAGTTTAGTAGGTAGAAGACTTAAAAGTCAATTTTAGCTTAAACACGTTTTATAAAATTATAGCTTAAACACCTTAAATAAAGCTTATACGCGTTTTTAAGGATCACTGCTTTACAAAAACATCAATCAAAATAGCGGAATAAACAAAAACTGAGTTTCGGGTCCACCCTTTTAAAGTTCTAAAAATTAATTTATACATTTTTTAATTTTAGTTAAATTTTAGGGCGGTGAACTTGATTCACGGGGAGGGCGGCATATCTTGGTTGATTTCAATTAAGAACGGCTAAAATAAATCAGCGTTTTATTCACACCGTGAATCAAGTACAGCTTCGCCACTTTTAGAAAATATGTAACTGCTACTATATATACTATATATATATATATATAGTATATATAAATGACTTACTTCGAAAAAATACAGAAACTTCTTCGTCGCCTAAAGATATACAAAATTATCTCAATGTAATTTCTTAATAAAATAATAAGCTAAATATCTCAGTATTATTGACGTATCATCTCTTTTTATTTCTTGAATTAATTAATGCTATACAAAATAAAAAGAATACCTTCTGTATCTTGGCTGCTCATTTCTAAAAAATAATCTTAATGTTTATTCTTGGGTCAAAAGCATATTAACTTCAAACATATTAACATGGTAATTATAAAATAAGTTTAATTTTTTAAATGAAGATTACAATAATTAAACTTGTAGATACAACTTACTTGTCGTCCCTCGCTTTGCAATTGTTATAATCGATATGAAGACCACATGGCCGAGTTTTATTGGTTTTAGAGTACAGTTGGCGCACATATCATAATACAAAAATCAGATGGTTTTGAATCTATTAATTAAGCTGTTTTTATTAACGGATTTGGTGGATTTAATTAAATAACCGCAAGGTAGTTTTACAGTGGTTTAAGAGTTGGCGTACGTTTCGTAATACAAAAATCATTTAATATTTGTTTATATCTTAATATTCGAGCGTTTCTATTAGCGGATTAGACGAAATTTTGTGGATTTTCTGTTTGTCACCTTCTGGAGTAACTAAATTTTTGTTTTACGTTTCGGAATACAATTTTTTTTTTCATACCTTTCCGTACTTTTTAGAACTCTTGACCAGTTAGTTTTAATAAAAATTTCAGATTGCATGTAAAACCATTTTTTTATATATATAAGAAAGAAATTTATCTTTTTTAATGTGTGTTAAACTCGCAGTTTTAACTAATTACCTAAAACATAAGTATCTCTATCATGATATATGCGCAACAAATTTCCAACAGCGTTTTTATGTTTTTAAAAATTTTAAAAAACGTTTTAAAAAATTCTCTCCATTTGGTTTCTTATATTAGATTATATCTTTATTTTTATGTAATGCGTATAACATCTATATGCATTTAAACTTGTTTTTCTTTGTTTTCTAAAAAACTGGATAGGATTTAAAAAAAAAATTGTGTAAGCAAAAGGTTTTGAACCGAAGCGAAGCACTTCAATCGCTGTGGAATGCTATATCATCTTTTTACACTATTTAATAAACAGAAAACTTATTAAACTTTAAAAAACAACATTTAATGCTTTAAAATAAAGAGATATTGTCGCATTGAAATTATTAAGTAAAAATAAATTGGTAGAATTTAATGTCATCTACTTTATAATTATACTGATTGATAGTTAAAGAACTTAAAGTTTACATATTTAGATATTTGAATAGACTTTCGTTCACATTGATAAAATACAAATCATAACAGATTGTGGTTCCGAAAAAAAAGGTTAATACACTACCATCTATAATTATTGGAAAGGTCATATTTTTTAATATCAAAGATATCAAAGTTTGGCGAAAAAGTGAAAACAATGTCAACCTGAATTATATGTTATCTTCCTATTTATTAGGTTTACCAATAAAATTTCCCTGATTAGTTTATAATTTATTCAAAGCCCTGATTAGCTTTTAATTTATTTGCCTATTAATCACCCTTAACAACAATAACCGCCATAAATATATTCTTAGCATTCTACTTAACGACTTATCTAATTATTCTATTTTGTCACTAAGTATAAAAAAAAAACAAAAAAAACCCATGTATTAACTGAATATCAATTTATTTATCTATTTAATTCAATATATATAATATATAATTTAATATATATAATTTAATCTAATTAATATAATTGAAATACTACTAATCAATTTACTGATATTTTTTCTATAGCTTTGTTAAAAATGGCCATATTCTGAAAGGTAAAGAAATTTATTGAAAAGAAAGTTGCACAAAAGAAAAAAAGTTATTCGTTTCAAAAAACGTTTTACGAAGAGTTTTTCCAAACAATTTTATTTTTAATTGGGTTTTTTTTGAATTACGTCATAAGCATATTAAGGCGTTTTGAAAAACAGTTGCTTCATATATTTATAGTAAAAAAGTTAAGGTAGCAAAATAAACTTTTAATTGTCAAAAGAAAGTTTTAAAGTTTTATCTAGCTACAGGCTTTTTTTTTTTTTGCCTCCACAGCAGCATCTTATGAAGTAGCAGGGCTGTATTGTTAAGTTTTTTCTTTATTAAGTTTCCGACAACTTTTTTTTCAGACCATCCGCAGCTTATTAGGACTAATTACATTTGCACATTAATAACATAAGTGTCTCAATTATTATAGATACGCAACATATTTTTTCTCCTGGTGATGTTTTTTTTTTTTTTTTTTAATGTTTTATGAAGTTTTAGCATTCTTAAAATCTTTTCTTTTGTGAGTGCATATTTTCGTTACGCTACATATGTTTGTATATAATCTTTATAAAACTTCAAAGTATTTTGTATTTTAAAATAATTAAAAAAATTTAAAAAAATAGCCGCCTTTGGTAGGAGTCGAACCTCTAGTTCCATATTCAGAAGTTCGCCGCCTTAGCCACTCGAGCTACACCGGCATATCAACAAGTGTAGATTTTATAATAATATAGTAACTTTTTTGAGGAAAAAAATGTTAGATCAAAATTAAGGAGAGGTTGACGCAATGTAATTTTCAAGTAAAAATCAAACTGTAAAACGTGATAAATGTTTCAGTATGTTTTAACATATGCTTTAACATTACTAAGTTTAAAGTTTACGTACGTTAGATATTTGTTCACGTTTTCTTATAGTGCTGCGACTCTTTCTTGCCAATACCTCGGTTGCAATGGCTGCCAAGGGTTTCGTGTCAAATACGCTCCAAGGGACAGTACTACTACTATTAAGTTCGGCAATATTAGATAGAAGATATATATATATATATATATATATATATATAATAATATATATAAATATATATATATATATATATATATATATATATATATATATATATATATATATATATATATATATAATATATATATATATATATATATATATATATATATATATATATATATATATATATATATATATATATATATATATATATATTATACATATAGTATATATATGTATATATAAATATATATATATATACATATATATATATATATATATATATATATATATATATATATATATATATATATATATATATATGTAAATAAAATAAATGCTGCCTGTTTAGACAATCTATTATAATGGATTCGCAGTCTTGGGCTTTAGTTGTTTATTTTAAAAAAAGGGTTGAAGCAGAGGCAGTTGTTCCA